CACCACGCCGTCAAAAGCATTCCAGATCGACACTGTAGCTGTATCAACTTCAAATAATACCACTATGATACCGTGTCCCTTTAAATAAGTAACTCACAAAATCAGAAGATGATACGCTTTTGAATTATTAATTTTCGACCTTCGACCTTCGACCTTCTTCAGCCTCAAGAAAAATGGGTCCAAACTGGAATCAACCATCAACGACCTTTATGAATTAGTTATGCATTTCAGCAAGTATTTGCCCTCCAAACTCTCCTGCCCCCCCCCCCCCTCCCCTCCCCAAAGAGGAAGAGGTAGATGAGATTTGAAATGTCACACCAATCCATAGGCTTAAAAACTGAAATATTTATTATTCACATAATATATTATGCATCAATGCTATTCCGGAAATCAAACCGTAAGTTCTCATTAACCCTCATAATGCCATGTGATTCCATACTTCACTATAGAGTGAGTAAAAAAAAAAGGAAATCCTTATTTAAGCCTCAATATCTAAGACTCAAAGTGAAATGGCTAAACTTTATTATAATGGTATGGTAGTTGACAATGTCATCTTCAAGTTAAAATCTTTCTCACTCAAATGCAGTCATGGATTACTGAGCACTACCCGATTAAAAAAAATGGGGGAAAAATATCAAAATTATCCTTGCCAAAGTTAGTGACAAATGGTAATCAGGAGTTCATTTAATGGTGTGTGAGTGCTTTTCAATAGTTTGAACGAAGATCATTCAACCAAAACCTTGGATTGACCATTCATCTCATGAAGAACTTGGGCCAGAGGAAAATTTGGTTTTTAATAGAATCGTGGAAAATAATGCTGTTCAGCTGACCAAAATCAGATTGTATTGATTAAGGTTTCATATCAAAGGAAATATTGTCTGTTCGGAGCCAGAACGGCATTATTTCATATAGTTTAGCACAGAGTTAACATCTTTCTGTCTCTGAATAGATGATACAATAGGCTATATAAGTTTATTTGACATCATCTATATGCACTGATCACAATGATATATTTAGGGATGAATCCAAGTTTCCTTTTTTTGAGTCACACTGTATAGTCTGAATTCAATTTCAACCTGTCATGTCTGATTATCACATCAGATTTTAGCATTTGTAATAGATCTCCATCATGGAGCTCAAATGGAATAATATATATGTGAGCACTGCAATAACATTCCTATTATTAGAGCGTATTTCCAAATCGTCTGCTTGGATTTGATTAAGCCACAATCATGAAGTCATCTGCAGCCAATTATGTTCTTGTAAAGCAATTAAATGGATACGAATGGATGTAGAACAGTACAATTAGATGGAGGCCTATCTGACAGACACACAGGGAGAATGTGTGTATTTCTTCGCCCTAAATGTTAGCCCACACAATGACAAGTAATGTTTTTTTAAAGGTCAATATGACATATTCTAGCTGTACACAAAGTATTTTGTTGCCAAGGTGATTGGATACACTATAGATGTAATCCAAGTTCTTGAAATGACAGAAAATAGAATAAAAGGAAAGGAGGTACTAACTTACAGAACTTACATAACAACCAACATTTAAACAAATACCTGAAATATATTGAACGATAAACCTGTATTTTACATTGGTTTGCGCTGTGTTTTCTTTTCAGCCTTGAAGTTGTTTGTGCACACACTAAAAAAAGATTACAGACATGACAACTTTTGTACTTACTGATCTGAAGGAAATTCTAGAGCTTTAAAAGTGAGAGTAAAAGCATATCTACAAAAACAAAACAAAACAAAACAAAACACATAAAAGACAGAATAACCCTGTAGAATTGAAAGTGAAATGATAATACTATCTCTTCTTAATACTTGTGTCAAAAATAAAACGAAGGTGATATCAATTTTAAAACTTGACGAGGTGACACCCTGCTTAGAGCCTATATCAGTTAATATTTAAAGGTAAAGACCAGTATTGGAAACACCCCAATTTCAAAAAATGAAATGGAAGCTCTCATTACCAATCATGTGAAAGAATATGTTTTGACTAATACATGATGATACAAAATTTGCCGGGAAACCGCCTACTAATTCATATATTTGGTAAATTTGTTTCTCTCATGGTCTGTGAGAGATATAGGGTAGTCCCATATACATCTTTCTGTGTATAGTGCTTGTAACTTTACGAAGAATGGGCCAAATTTCTTATCATTTTGATGATTCCAGAACCTTGCAGATGTTAGATGCTAGATGATCAACCTTTTCTGATCGATTCCACAAAGTTTCTTTCACAATGCAATCGCATGACCATAACTGGTCTTTACCTTTAAACCTCTTAGTAATGTAATAATTACTGTATGAATTAAATGAATGTGTACATGTATGATTATCATGCATTGTATGGTCGGCTGGGAGCCAGAAGGGTGTTAAAGAGAAGGTTGAGTTCTGGGAAGAGGTGAAAGATAATTTAGGAGCGAATTAGCATTGTACTATGCAAGTGTGGAAGAACATCATATAAAAAAATGTTCCCTGAAAAGCATGGCTCTTCCAAATGCCTTAATATTCTAAATATGGCAAGTAACATCATAAAAATCGGGATGGATTTTTTTTCACCACATGTTTGTGTAGTCCCATATACATTTTTCTGTGTACAGCGCTTGTAACTTTACCAAGACTAGGCCACATTTCGTATAATTTTGCTGATTCCAGAACCTTGCAGTGCACACCAATACTTAACAATAATTCTCATCGATTCCACAATGTTTCTTTCACAATGCAATCGCATGACCAGAACTCAACTTTATTTTTAATTTGTATCATTTTCTGTTAATGCCCTTTTTTCTCTAATCGTATCATCTGCTAAGAGTTAATAGATCACTATCTAATACCATTTCACCTAAGATAATCTTTAACCACATCACCTGCTGAGAGCCAGTAGGCCTTAACTCGTATCATTATACTATTTCACATACAGTTAATACCCTTCTGATACCCGCATGATATCATTTATTAGTTATATCCCAGGTGACACAAGTTCCAGGAGACCAAAAGCTGAGGAAACTGAAATAAAAAATACATCCCGGAAACTGAAATCACACATGGAGTGAATTCCTGATGAGGTGTTAGAAAGGCCCTCGAGACTAAATATTTTTAGTCTGTACCTTTTTCATCTGTTCAGAGCCCCGAGGTTTTAACTCTGTTTTTTATGTATCCGAGTTAATGCCCTTCTGGATCCATACACAAAATACAGTTCTAAGAGTTTCAAGAGATTCACATGATTTATTTATGGCATCAATAGCACAAGAAGGGTTGCGATACAGAATGTTGGTCTCATAACCCTTAGAAAAAAGGGGAAAAAAAAGGTTCACAAGCAAGAAAAAAAAGTTGTCTTGTGGCCATCAGTCCCATAAATCTTGAGTTAACTGGGCTATAGACAAATTTCTTGTTTTTCTTCCAAAATGTGTTTCTTTATAATTTAATAAAAATGGCCCTAGAGCTAGAGATGGCTTTAAGAGAGTAACATATTATTCACCAGAACCACAAAAGGTGAAGAAGATGACGGCTGAACGTTGGCAGATCTCTTGAAAGAAGAGTCTTGAAAACAATGAATCAAAGACGTGTATCATTAATTTGTTGGGAGAACAACTCGTCGTAGTCAAGGTTTAGGTATATTTTGCTTTGGGCAGTCCCTTTCTTCTCACAAACACAATGATATTTCCTTACACGAAGAATGGCCTTCTCCAGGAAAAACAGTAACATATCTACTTTTCCCATGGGCTTACAAAATCCTTAGTCTACTTTTGTTCAATAATAACACATCACCTTATATATCACCAAAGCGCCTAGAGATATCATACATGTAATAAAAAATAATTTCAAAAGAAATTCTTAATTGTGTTTTGCTCTCGGCCTTGAAGAATAGGAATGCAAATTCAATTTATCCCTGGAAGCAAGGTGAACTGTACAAGAAGTGGTTCATCTTACCCCAACAATCGATACTTTATATAAAATGTACGAAAGAGAATAGATACCGTCAGCTGCCTGCAAAAAGGAGGTTATCACCATTGACAATAAATAGCTCTTACAGCCTTTTGTGGACAGCCATCATGCGTTGAGAGGCAGATGGGCATTACCTTTGGGTTAAGCCCAAGGCACACTGTACGATTCTCCTGCGACCTGGTTTTTGATGAATCATATTTTAAATGTGAATATAAACGCTCATCAACTTCCTGATTTATGTTCTAAATAATGATAAATACTAACAACTGGAAAGTTTGGGCATTCAAACTCTATTAAAAGCCAAATCGGCTTCATATTGTAGACAATCGCACTAGTAGTATGACGTCACTACAATTCTTAGCTAATTTAGCTTCCCCCCCCCAAAAAAAAAAATAAGATTCATGAAATCCCTTGAAAATTATATCAATATTAATCACATGACTATTCGGTTCCTCGGTCATTAAGATTTCACATGTTTGATTGTTCATATCAATTGCTATTGCAAAGTCTTCCAACATGTTATCGTAGTCAGATCGTATACAGTATGAATTTAAAGGTTACAAGGTATGCCCTTCTGTTTCTCAGCAAATAATATGTGAATTTACATTAGTATCAACCTGAAAAACTAGTTTTGTTCACTGTGGCAAGGAAAACTCAATCTGTTCTACAAATCTTTATCCTCTAAAAGTAGTGTCCATCACTTGCTGTTATCACCAGATCTCCTCAAATGTAAAAGAGCACATCAACTGCTGACAGCTAGACACAGATTAACTTGTATCTCTATTTAGGCTAATACAGCAGTCCGTAAATTGTAAGCTTAGCTCGTGGTTTCAAACAAACCTTTGTGGTTATATTGTGGTATTAAAGTGACGGGATGTACTTGTAGAAACTTGTTTTAACCACAAGCAATTTCATGGTTAAAAACAAAAACTACACGCAGCAGCAATGTTGATACATAACTCTTGGGATCTTCTTGTGGGCAGTCTAGGACTCTGAATATTTCATACGAACTAGGGTCTTTTCGTTAATTCTACATTTTGCTATACAGAAATACATATAAATGTAGGATCTTCACATGAAAATGGAACACATAAAACAAGATCAGTGGGGCTAAAATGCGCAGTCATTATTTTCATAACGTTACACAAGGATAACCTTTGTTTCTTGTTTTACAATGCGGTCTAAAGAACTTCTAAAATTCTATTTTCTACCTAGTACCTGATCTATGAAAAAAAAAGGAAAGGGCTGGAGTACACATCATCATCCTCTCGATAAGCAAACCATTGGCACTTTCTGTTTTATTCCCAAATATTAAAATATTTTATAAATATATACATCCTACAGCTAATCTACAGGCCCTTTATCATGCGGGTACCGGATACGGGCCTTCTCTTCTTTTATTCCTCCTGTCTCTCGCGTACTGCCTGGGGTCTCTCCTGTCAACAGGGGGCGCCCTAGGAAAATGATCCTGCGCACCCTGATCCCGATGGTCCATCGCTTGCGCTGGTTGACCTTGCCGTGGATCCCTGGGCCCTTCTATTTGTTGATCGATGTCTTTCTCGCGGTAAACTCTCTTGAGGTTTTCGTTGAATCCTGCTGCATTGTCAGCGATCTTTTGCTCGTTGTCCAGGACGAATCGGTCGGGGTCGCCGTACCTGGGCTGGCGGGCGTAGGGGTCGTAGCCGAGCCGGGACAACATCGGGGCAAGGCTGGCCATGTCAGAGATGACGTCTCCAGGTATATGACCGACCCACTTGCTCAATGCTTCAAGGTTGACAGGTTTAATGACTTGGTCTGTAGATTTCTCTTTCCTGCAAAAATGAGTGCAAATATTAAAAAAATGAAATTAATGTTTGGGTTAATATCAAAACTATCTTTTGACAAAGATTTGAATGGTGTAAGAAACAGACTGATTATGCATAGATGGCTTTATACTAGAAAGCAAAAATAAATGTTACTTCTTGTTCTCTAAACAGATTCATCTGCATATACTTCTTACGTGGCAACAATCACAGAAATCACATGTTGAGAATAACAATGCAGAATTTCAATCACCAATGGTAACGGTATACCAATATCAAAATATCAGAAAAAACTAACAGTGAATAACATTTTCATGTACATCATTTCCTAATTTCCAGAATGGTAGAGGGGTTTTTCTTTTCTCATGTAAGAATCAAACCATGAAAAAACCCTGTAGTCCAGGCTTTAAGCACATGGTTTCTCACCCAATTCTTGCAATGATTTATAAACAGGGAATTAGTGATGCCTGCATAATATGCACCACCACCTCCAATTTATTTAATCTTTCTATGCTAATTACTCAGCCAGTATACATTTTCTTCCAAAATTGTTTGTCACATGACATTTGTAATCTTGAACATTCAGTGTAAGGTTCGTTAGATTCTGTGAGAATTCAAATTTTTTTTTTTTTTTTACCAGAACTCAGGTTTATCTTTTAAGTGATACTAAACTGATTATATTTCTGCCCTAGCATACTGTGTATTGCACAGCGCCATCTCTTGGTCAACTTGCCAACAGTGCATAACCCAATACCCAATTTCTACTTTGCAGACAGAGGACTCACTGCAAGAACCAACAGCGCAGCGATCTACGGAACTGTACTGCTACAGCTGACCGGAGATGGCGATAGAGGGGATTTTGTGGTAGTGCTTCTAGTACAGTGTGGCTTTAAATGGGAATTAAAATCTGCTGTTACGGGAGATAATAGAAATCTATTAGATATTCTTCAACTTTTACTTTTTAATCCAGTCCCTTTCTTTACAATATACTACTACTACTACTACTACTACTACTACTACTACTACTACTACTACAACAACTACCACTACCACTACCACTACCACCACCACCACCACCACCACCACCACCACCACCACCACCACCACCACCACCACCACAACCACCACCACCACCACCACAACCACTACCACCACCACCACCACCACCACCACTACCACTACTACCACTACTACCAGTACTACGACTACCACTACTACTACTTCAACTACTCATTACGAAGGTTTCTGCAACTAAGAGCTGTACAGCCCAAAACACAAATCACGACATACAATCGCTGATATGACCTTCAACTGAAAATAAAACAGAATTCAATCAGATGGCCATCATTATGCGGCACCTTGTTCTGTGACCCTCTCAGGCGAGCGAAAATTGCAATCACTATCATGATGGTTTAACATCATCTGTGACCTTCATTCAACCTTTATAGGACCTGACAAGCATGTATTTGCCTCTTTCCTATAGCTGGATACTGCTCCGGATATCTCTTCACCATTGTAATTAAAATGCACATTCTCTGTGCTACATGGATATTTAAAATGAGGGTTCGAGAGAATGAAGGTTCGAGAGAATGAGGGTTCGAGAGAACGAGGGAATGGAGATTGATTTGTTCATGACATTCAATCTACCCTCCTCCAACTAATGGTTGTTGATCAACATAGTAAGGGATACAAATAGAGGGGGATTATTAAGTGAGAGAGAGAGAGAGAGTGAGAGAGAGAGAGAGATATAGAGAGAAAAGGAGAGAGGGAGTGTGTGTATGTATGTGTGAGAGAGAGAGAGAGAGAGAGATAGACAGAGAGTGTGTGTGTATGTGTGTGAGAGAGAGATAGAGAGAAGAGGATGTGGGACGAGAGTGTAAGAGACACAGGAAGAGTGGGGGAGTGAGTGAGAGAGTAAGAGAGAGAGAATAGAAGAATAAGGAGAGTAAAGAGATGTATATTTTAGACAGAGAGGCATGCAAAGCATGTCTAAGATCGAGAGAGAAAGGAGGGAGAGAGAGAGAGATAGAGAGAAAAAAATGAGCAAGAGAGAAAGAAAAAATATAAGGACAGGCACACACATTTACGACATATTACCAAATACATGAGCCAAAAACCACAGACAACACTTAAAATCAACAGCAAGCATACTTAACCCCACGCTGTTTTTATAATTCCTTTGTCTCTGCTTCTCACATGCTCTCATCCACCCGACCGTTCATTCATGTAGTCATGCACACATTTTTTTCTAGTCCATGCTGAGACGACACTCCCTCCGCTTGACATGCACTTATCAACAATCAAAACAACCCATTTCAAAAGCAAATGATCCCCAAATATTCATGTTATCATGCGCATATTCTTTCTAGTCCATGTTCAGGCTAAAATATGATACTCAAAGTCAAAGACCAAACAACACATTTAATAAGCAAATGATCCTGAAATGTTCATGTTATCATGTGCATATTCTTTCTAGTCAATATACAGGTGACACTTCTAATATATCTAATACTCAAAGATCAAAGATCAAAACAACCCATGTATTTAGCAGATAATCCCGAAATGTTTATATTCTTTCTGGCCCATGTTCAGGCGACAATTCTAATATCTAATCCTCCAATACCATAACAACTCATTTAATTAACAAATGATCCCCAAATGTTCATATTCTATCTGGTCCATGCAGGCGAAAATTCTAATATCTAATACTCTTATACCAAAACAACCCATTTAATTAGCAAATGATCCTGCCCCAAATGTTCATATTATCATGTGGCGTGCATACATATTCCTTCCAGTTCATGTTCAGGCGACACTTCTAATATCTAATTCTCAAAGATCAAAACAACCCATTTAATTTATTAGCAAACAATCCTGAACTGCCATGAGCATTTTAACAACTCAACATTCATGTTTCCACAGGGAACATTGTCTAAGACTGCCGACACCAGGCCCAATTTGCAAAATTAGTCAACCTCAATTCTCATCACCCACGAGAACATCGTCAAACATGTCCAAAAATAACCGGGAGAATATAAACTCGCAGTGGATGCATGTTTTTTTTTTATCCTGGTAGTATTTAAGTCAGATGTCTGATTATATATTTCATTGAAGGGGCTGACTTCTGCAAAACCGTTCAAATCTGATTCAAATTTGTGTATCTTTTTGCATATTCTTTGAAGGGACTGGGTATCTTTGCCTCAGATTCTAAACAAAATCCTGGATTTAGCTCATGCTGCAATCATAATTAGAAACCTTTAGGTTAGACAGGAATCCCATGACTTTTACAAGCCGATCACATGTCTGATTATCAAGAAATTTATGATTGGAATAAGAAATGTCAAAAACCGTTTATAATGACACTACAGTCTATTAGGGAAAATGAGTATGGTAATAACCTGTCACTCAAAGATTTTTACTTTTTTGAAACACTTCATGATCATTTTGAAGCGCAATTTTGTTAGGCTCTAGCCGTTAGTAATCGAGATAAACTACTGTAAAGTGTCCAATTAGGGACTTGTGCCTCTAGACTAATTATGTATACGGGTGATTGATGTACATCAATATTTCTTTGTTGATTTTTGAAAATAATTCTTTCCCTCTTATTTTTATGAGAATTCCCATTATTGACATTGAAGATACCATGCTTTTATAAACGGTTGGCGACAATAGTCAAATCACTGACTAATCGCCAATAACTCAAAACACAACAACAAGAGGGTAGGCGTGGCATACTCGGGCTCCAATATTGATGACCTGATGAATGAAAAGGATAGTACTTGTTTGTCAATGGTAACATATCCGGTGTAGGATTCCATCTCTAGCTGTATCATTCAACATCGTTCAAACAATTTAAGCATTTTAATCGTCAGCCCCCGGAAGATATGTTATACCTTACTCTTTCAACTCCTTTCATCTGTTTTTTTCTCTCTCTGTCTCCCTCCATCCCTCTCATTTATTCTCTCTTTTTCATGTGATTTGTTTCCTTTCTTTCTCTATCTATATCAATATCTCTCTTTTCCTTCCAATTTTTTTATCCTGTCTCTCCTGAATTCCATAAATAATTTTTTCCCAGTCCTAAACATCTATTCATTTTCAATTTCATCTCCCTTTTCTGGCCCTCTCTCTGTCTCCCCCCCCCCACCCCCATATGGATTCCTGTTATTCCAACCTTTTCCTTTTCCCTCTCCCCATCCCTTCCCTTGTTTCTTTCGCCTATTCCCTGTATTTCTCTTCATTCTCTATGGCTGCGTTCATGCTTAAATTTTGAAGGCAGAATGAGCGATCTGAAACGCTCATCGTAAACGCTCATCGTGATCGCAGTTCCACGATGTAGTGTTCATGCTTACTTCTCTGGCTCCCCCAGGCAATTCTCAGTGTGTGGCCTTAATTGGTCTTCCAGCTGGATTCGCAAACCTTCACTGTGCATGCTACGTAGACCCACTAGAGGTCAGTGCGTTGACCCCATTTAAACGCGTTTACAAATTGTAAACGCATCTTTTTGTGAGTTTACGATCGGCGATCGTGATCGCCGTTTTTCGGTGATTCTACAAAAGTGAGCATGAACGCAAGCGTGTTTTAAACTAAACGCGTAACAGATGCCTGATTCTGGCCGTCAAAATCAAGCATGAACGCGCCCTATGTCTGTCTTTCCATCTCCCTCTCACTCACTCACTTTCTCTCTCTCTCCCTCTCTCTCCTCTCTCCCTCCCATTTTCACCTTCCCCCTCCCACTCTCTTTCGCTATCCCTCCCCCTCCTTTTCTTCCTCTCGTCCCCTCTCCATCTCGTTGTCATCCTCTATCATCACTCTCCCTAATGGATAGCAAACACTCTGATGAGTGCTAATAAAATACAACATACCCCTCTTTGATGCAAACAAGAATACATCACGATATGAGGGGGAAAGATTGCATCGATTTCCCCCCTGATCCGTTTCAGATTTTCACCATGGAAATGAATGCTGTACACACCTAATATTTTCTACGCAATCAATAAAAATGTTGCCTGCATCCACATTTATGCGGACAGCCTGGACAATGAAATGACATGTTGCAAATCGAAGTCGTAGTCAATAATAGTGTTATCTACTTCCATATATCATAATTTGAAGGTCATGTTCGATAATGAAATGACATGAAGCAAAAAATCAGTTCAGAGGCCTATAGAGGCAGCGAAATTGTCAAGAAAAGAAGGTGTTTGCTGCAGATACTACCTGTGCAAGGGTAGATAAAGGTCATTTGAACAAAACCATAAAATCCATGGGGATGACTGCTGGAAAAAAGTTCATGAAATTTATACAATCATTATTCATAAATGCACCAAGGGTACATTCTGTGAAACACGTGTGAAAGTATTATTTTCAAGAGGGAAAAAGAAAATGTGCTCCTGAAGCACTTCCATCACTTTGGCAGTGGATATTCAAAATGCATGATGTCCAACTTCTCTATATTTAAAAGTTCTGCAGACATGTGGGGTCATTTGTATCAACTTCAATCCCCGGAACAAACACTACACCTAACTGTAATCTTAAACCTAATCTTATTAATCCTTAACCTATACTTAATCGAATTGCAACCAAAGCATTTATATATATATATTTTTTTTTTAAATATTTTTTTTACTGGTGGTCACTGGTGTAAAATATCAGACCATCAATTAAAAAACCTTCTGTTTGGAGCCAGAAGGGCGTTAACTTTCACCCTTTAACACCACAGAGTTAATGCCCTTCTGGCTCTGAACAGATGGCATGATCAATCTTTGTGTCAAATATGATCTCGGAGAGTGGCACAATGATTGAAAACTTCTTTCATGAAAATTATGTATGTTTGTGAAATCTATAGCACTACATGGATTAAGAACAGAAGAAGGAAAACACCCTTTAAATACGCCAACAGTTTTAAATAAACAGGTAATCTTTTCATCTTAATCTCTCCATTTCCAATCTTTTTCTCTTAATTTAGAATAGATTCTACTCTCCGACAAGATCTCCAAGTCTTAAATTGTAAGATGCGACTCCCTTTTCCTTCCAAAATAATGCATTTGTAGCATCAAAGTGTCTGCAATCACTCCTTTGAAAAGCTGTTTGATTGATGTGTTCTAATCCCTTTTTATATTTTCCATGAATATAAATGAAGTGCTTGCATATAAGCTTTAGGATTCCTAAAATCTTTTAAGAGTTAGCATATCCATCAGACTTACATATATGGCAATCACATTTTTATCACAAAATCCTTTATAAAGTTACGAAGCAAATAAGATTGAGATGATTTTACAAAAAATTTATGTAAGTCTTAATATGTATTTTCTTCTACACTAATTTCACAACATCTGTAAAAGCCATAAAGGCTTTATATTTTGCATTAAAAGACAAGAGTTCATGCACTTATGACTCTCAGCATTGTTTTTAAATGTTTTAAAAAAGAATGATATGTGCTCATTTTGTCCTGATATATTCATAGTGATCTGTCAATATCTGTTAATCCTAATCCTGAAAGCTATTTTTTCTTTAACTGCAAAGGGGATGAATGAGATGGTGACTTTAATAATATAGCTCACTTTTTTGGATTAATTAAAGGTAATAATACAAAGTTTTAGTATGGGGTCATGAATTTGGTTCAAATGAACATATTGGAAGCATATGCGATTTTACAATGTTCAATGATCGCTGTTGCGGTTGAAATTGAGTTTAAAGTGATGAAATTTTGAATAATAAACTCTTTATGTTGTATAGCGCCCTCTCAAGACTGATATTACTTTAAACTTAAATCAATGTTTCTTTACTACAATCGACCGATTTTGCTATTCCCGTTTGGGAATTATATGTCAGAACTGCATATTCTGAGATTCTCATGGTCGCAGCTACCAAGAATGGCCTAAGGAGCTATTTACAATATTCAAATTTTACCGGGAGCACCAGTAAATTTTTGATTATTCAGTATCTCAAAAGCAGAAGTGTTTTAGAGGCTACATTTTCTAGTTCTTATAATACATACACAGGGGCATCTGAATATATCAACATTTTAAAGAATTACTATCCATCCAATTTTCAAAACTTTGCATTACCTTTAAGTAAGAAGTTGAGAGTTATACTGTAACAATTCCTATCAAAGTGTTTTTCAGCAAGGATAAGTTATTGTTGGAAAAAATAATTATCCTCTACTTAGGAAATTTCCAATTTCTTCATTACTTTACTATTCATCAACATAAATAGAAGCTTTCCTGTAAATTGTATTAAGTTCCAAAACAATTTCATCCATGACAAGCCATTGAGCAAAGTTGGCCCAACATGAGAAATGCTGGAGTGATTGGTAAATCCTTTAAAAACAAGAAAAGAAATCCTTTCTTGAAGGGTGATTTCTAAAAGGGTGTCTTTCCTAGGCAAAACTCACTTTCAGCACTGTTATCTCTCTTCCCCCACAAGTGGATCAGAGAATCAGAAAATTAAGATAACCATTAACAAAAAAAAATCTATCTGACCACTACTAACACTGTACACGACCTTTGAACTCAACACCAATGCTGTTCCAGGAAATGACAGGTTTAGTGACCCATTCATTTCTACAAGTGCGGCTCCTAGCGATTCAATCCTGCGCCAAGCACTTCATTTCTCAACCCCCATTTCCTCCACATTCTAAAATGATATATATCTCTAAGAAAAACTCTCATCCTATTATCTAAGAACATGTAAACTACAGAACACTTTTGCAAGAAACCTGATATTTCCTGACCTTTCTTAGTACCCTTGGCAGAGAGAACAAGCATCAATTCAATAATCCTTCTGAGTTTACAAACACGACATTTAAACCAGGTCCATGGATTAACAAACCATTGACGCATTGCTCTCACAGAACTCTAATACCATATCATTTCTGACGATTGTGCTATCATCGGTGTAATCCGATTGGTATAATTGAATTGTGATATGGGTTCGTCTGCTCAATGTCTTGCGGATCAAACAAGACATACTTGTGAGCTACAAATTGAATTTCTGCTTCAAATGGCATCCACCTTAAACCCCACTTACAACACAATGCCAAGTGATATGTATTATAAGCTGATTTATATCAGTATACTTGAATGGACAATCCCTTCTCCTTATGAACTACACCAGAAATTGAATTTCTGCTTCAAATGGCATCCACCTAACTCCACTTATGACACAATGCTGAGTGGTATAAAAGCTGCTTTATATCAGTATACTTCAATGGACAATTCCCTTTTTCTTATGAAATACACCAGAAAAAAAGAACATTTAACTAACAAGGGGTTCAACACGAAGTACAAAATACTTATTAAATTCTACCAAGAGCTTTGTATATATAATGTGCAAATTTATTAGGCTATATGTCAGACTTTGTAGAAGATATTGTATTTTATAGAATCACTAGAATTTTTTCAGTCCTTTTATAAAATATTTTAACCCTCACCCAAACTATAAACGTCTGCTATAAAAAAATTCAAGAAACATAGAAAATATGTCTGTGGAATTATTGGCAATTTTTTAAAAGTATGTATACTTCAATCACCAGTGGGTTTATCTTTCTGGTTTCCTAGTTTGAGGATGATTAGGACAGAGATAGGAGTATTAAACAATCATTGGTAAGGCCTGCAATCCTAACTTTAAATTCTGCACATTTTATTCTACCACAGACTATCCTGTATTTAATTGTTTTGAAGCATCTTGTTTCCATGACGACATCAGAGGTGCTATCAGGTTCCTGAATCCAATCCTTGAATCACAGAAATACCAACCAACCCCTTACAATCCACCTCTCTTGGACAATGAGAATAAGCATCCTGTTTAATAGCATGATATTAAGTTTCATCATGTCATTAAGTTTTCCAATGCACTCCTTGAATCACCGAACAACAACCCCAACCCTTAAATTTCCCACTTCTTCCCTTTAATAACGGATGAAAGAATTATTTTACCCTAACAAGATGCCATCACATTTCAAAATATGCTTCTCAGAAACACACCACTTAAAGCACTTTCATTTTCCCTCTCTTTCTTCTGTTACCCTAATCTTAGCAAGGAAACCTTAACAAGGAAATGCCATCAGGTGTCCCAGTGTGCTCTAAAAAACACAAACCATCTCATCCCTCCCCGGTCATCCCTTTAATATTGATTGAAAGCATCCTGTGCCGTAACAACAAGAAGCCACTTAGTTTTCCTGATGTGTTCCTCAAAACACGGAAACAACATCCCATCCTCCCCAATTCCTCCATCTCTACGATTAGAATGATGAGTGACATGATTATGTTATCGTAACAACTACATGCCCACTTAATTTCTAAAATGTGCCCTCTTAAACACAAAACCCATCCCTACACCTTCTATTCCTTTTTAAATATATGTTACCTTGACAATGAAACGAGTGCTAGATTCCATAATATGATCCTAAAAACAAACTTACACTGTATATCCCTTCCATCCTCCCTCAATTCTCTTAAAAAGTGAAAGCATCCTGTTACCTTGACAACATGATACCACCAGATTTCCTAAATGTGCTCCTCAATAAAACACACGGAAGCACCAAGCCCATCCCACCCTTAATGTTACCTTGATAACTACATGCCCACTCATTTTTCACATGTGCCCCTTGAAACACAAAAACAATTCCCCCTTAATCCTCCCTCCATACACTTGAATGATGAAAATACCATGTTACCTTGACAATGAGATGCCACCAGGTTAACTACATGCCCAGTCAATTTTCAAATGTGCCCCTTGAAACACAAAAACCACCAGCCCCCCTCCCTTCATACACTTAAATAATGAAAGCATCCTGTTACCTTGACAACGAGATGCCACCTGGTTTTCCTATGTGTTCCTCGTGATGCATGACTGCTTCGTCCCAGGGCAGATCCAGGAATGTGAGGATCTTCTCCATCCATTCCTTAGGGTGGAGGACGAGCTGCTCATAAAAGACTGGCAGACAGTACTGCTTTCCTACTCTCAGGCACTGGTCATACATACTCTCAACTGCCTGATTCCATTTCTTCAGGCAGTCCCTGTAGTTTGTAATGTCAAATCCCGTTATCGTCACTTTCCGCGAGATGATGGAATGCACTGTCGCTCGCCCGTCGCGAATCATGAGAAGATATTTCCCATTCGGGAACACTTTATGAAGGTATAACATAGATTTGAGGACAAAGGGGTCTTTATTGCATAACCGCGGCGCCGGAGCCCCGTGCTTCGCGATGATCTCGAGCATGAACGCCGAGATGGCGTCGTCGACGACATCGTCAGTGAGTCCTGCTTCGAGCAGCCTCGCGTGTTCTTTGGAAGAGCGTATCCACTGAGCTCGCATGCTCAGTATCCGCGGTATAACGCGGGTTTCCTCCCCGCATCGCACGTCGTCGTGGGCGTCTAACATTGCACGCATGAGAGTCGTTCCGCTCCGCGGCATCCCGCCTATGAATATGAGAGGCATTTCCCGGTGGTATGTGTATTCGTTGTTTGCGTCGTCGTAAAGGATGTGAGGTTCGACGGGCACCATTCGCACATTCTCCGTCGTGTCCCCACAGTTTGAATGCATCAACATGTATGTGATTGTGGCTGTGACAAAGACAGTTACCACTGTGTGTACTTTTGTGGATCGCGCCATTGTGACACGGAGAATCCTTACAAGATGAGGGCTATACATCAAATTGGCAACCTCTCTATTTATCCTTCCACTTTATCTAATTATTTCTCGATAGCAATGAATCAAAATAGAAAGCCATTAATAAACTGCTAATCATCACCCCGCATTTGGATGGTTGCATTGATGACACGATTGCTGTGCTGACAAACTTGATGAATCCTCTTCAGTAGAGCATGGTAATCCTCTTTGTAATATTCCTCAAAAAGCACATTTCTTTCCCTCGATATCTTCCTAACTGATCCTCTTTTGAATAAAAATTTCCAGGAAAAAAAATATCACAAAATTTTAAATTCTTGCTCCAGGTTGAAGCAATCCTTCATCAAATCAAATCTGCATATCATTTACAGAGCTCCAGGTTAAAAAGAGAAAAACAGGGTAATACAATTTTCCACCATCACAAGGAATTTTCAATAATTTCCCATGCTTCTGCCAATCCAATTCATTAATATCTCTCTTAACGAGATTAGCTGCACGGCCCGTAGCAATGCAGAAGACTTCCTCCGGCGGTTCTGCAGCACATCCACTCCTCGTCGCTGCTGCTGAAGCAATATTCAATCAAACCAGAGCAGTCAACTCACGTTACTCAACCCTCATCATCGATATGAGCAATTTCTTCCATGCGTAACACTCGTCCCGGATCAAAAACGTGCTGTCCGTCTTATCTCAGCCTCATCTGCGCAGTTGTTGATCGGAGAGCCGTGACCTTTACTAGTTGAATGAAACTTTTCACTGCTTCATGTCATCGTCGGGGGCGACTCATACACCAGCGTGGCAGCCACGCGACATTTGCCAAATCCTTCTCAAGGGTAGGATCGCATTTCAGACTCCTTGCATTGGGGCTAAACGGACAGCTGGACGATTTTCTTTCTTTTCCCCCTAGAAGTGTCAAGCAAGTCTGAGCTGAGAGGCAGATTTGATTGCAGGCAGGGTAGGATTTATTGGCGGAGAGATCGTTGGCTGGCTGTTGCTCTGATATGCATGTGTTCCAGGCTCAGAGTTGTTTTTTGACCAATCAGGAGGCTTGTATGATACTGGCTGTCCAATCAGAACAGAGATGACTTGTGTGTGTGTGTGTTGGGGATAAGGAGGAGAGTTGGAGCACTAAGGATACCTGTGGATGATGAACAAAAGAAAAGATACATGGTGTTATGTGAAATTTCAGGGATACTAGAAAAAGGCTGCACATCACAGCATGTGAGAATAATTTAAAGAAGAAAAAGGGAAAAAGGGAAAGAAAGACACTATGACATTAGAAAAAATGAAACCAAGAACAAAACAGCTAAATCAATAAAACAAATAATGAAATAGAATTTGTGGTTAGAGGCATAAGCTGTAGAGATGTTAGGCATATTCTGTGTGATAAGAAGATTACAAAAAATGAGACAAACGAGGTTCAATTTGATAGAAAAGATAGAAGTCAGAAATTATGGGAGTGTATGCGACAGAAAGGGGGGGGGGGGTTAAAAGAATAAAGGGATAGAAAAGATAGATATAGATGAAGAGGAAGAGAGAGAAGAGAAGAGAGAAACAATGGGAAAGAGAGTGGGACAAGAGAGGGAGAGAGAGAGACAGAGATAGGGTAGGGCAGAGACAGAAAACAGAGGAAAGAGAGACAGACAGAGAAAGAAATAGAAATCGAGAAGTTAAACACTGAGACAGATATGACACTGTGCCAGTCAAAAACAGATTTGACGAGGGATTTGAAAGCTTGTTATATTACACAAGTATCAAATACTGAGACACAGTGAGAGTATAGTCATGGATTAGGTGAGGTTTATAAATACACAATCGTAATACCAAGTGGGCTAAGGAGATACAATTGAATATGAGAACAAAAATAAATAGAAAACGGAAGAGCAAGAATTGGACAAAAATAGTCTTCTTGTAAACAAAATCTCAAGAGAGATAAACATTACGCGGGATGAAATTGAGCGCACCAGTATAGGATAACATACAAGGGCTGAAGGAGGGAACAAACACATAGATCATGTTATTATGGTCGAACATTAACGCTTACTATGCCTTAGGTGGGAAATTCCACCCAACATTGTGAATGTTGTGCTTGAATTATGGAGAAAAAATGGTGATCTTTGCCTTCCTGAATTAGAAATAGAGATATTAGACACTGCAAAATTTGTCTCTTAAAATATATTGTAAGTCTGTTTGGAGCCAGAGGGGTGTCAACTCGTAGCTTTTACACATGACATGTTAACAACTGATAAAATGAAATGACGGATTAAAACAGACTTTGAGAGATTATTTATATCAATCATTGTTTGTGAAATTAAGGGCAATAAAGGGGGTGGGGGAGGGGGGGGGGTGTATTTATTATAAATTAATTTGATATACTAACAAAAGCTGGAGGTGCAGATACTTCCCCCTCACTGCTAAATCTTTTATTTTTTGTTTCTTTATTGTTTGTTATTATGGACATTGTGTCTCTATTTCCTCATTGAATCACTTATTGCAGTTGCTTACATTATTCATATCACATCTGTTTGTCATCTGACATCATTAAGCATTCTACTACGCATATTTGCTTTCTGTCCTATTTGCTCAAAATTCACATCAAACATGAATACCAATTTATATCATGCGTAACATTGTTACAAGGAGGCATATTTAGAAAATTTCTCTGGGACTCAACAATAGATCCTGAATTTCAATGAGCTCCTCAATTATACATTATTTTTAAAGGTTGGGAACAACATATTTCCTGATGGCTTTATTCAAAAGGCAAGATCAGTCCAGATATATTATTGTGACAGTTTTAATTTAGGATTTGAATATCTTGAAAATATGGGGAGTGGAGGATAAAGAAATACATCAACAAGGGAAATTTAGAGTGATGGAGAGAAAGAAGGGAGATAAAGAGAGAGAGAGAGAGAAAGGGGGTGGGAGAAGAGATAGAGAAGGAGAGAGATAGCATGGAAAGCTAGCTATGGAAAGACAGATTTATATAAAATAGAGACAGATAGAGAGAGATAGAGAGAGAGAGAGAGAGATAGAGAGAGAGAGAGAGATAGAGAGAGAGAGAGAGAGATAGAGAGAGAGAGAGAGAGAGAGAGAGAGAGGGAGAGAGAGAGAGAGCGATAAATAGGCCAGACAGAGAAAGCAAGTGATGGAAGATAAAGACAGAGAAGGACAGGATGGAAGATGGAAAAGAAAGAGTGAGAGAGAGAGGGAGAGAGAGAGAGGGAGAGGGGATGATGGTGCATAACAAGTAAAAAAATGTTTAGTTACATTATAGCAAAGGAATTGTAAAAAAAAAGTGGGTGTTTATGACATAAAACTGAACATTATCTTCATAATATAACTATCCCCATCAAACACACACCCACATGATAAATAGAGGATAAATAGTACCTATAATGGATCTGGAAATCCATTTGCAGATCCTCTACTACTATTGTCCTTTCTTCAGCTTGTGATCTATCAACATTACGTGTCATAGTGCTACTCTACAGCTCAAGCCATGAAACTTGTGTCTACAACAAACTTAATTTGCCTTTAAATGTCTTCAAAAATTGAACCACCAAAGTTCTCACATTTTCATGAGCCATGATACATGCCTTGGCAACATACTTAATTTGCACTGTTAGATTTCTTCAATATTTTAATCCCAAGAGTCTCTTAATTTGGCACAATTTTTGCAATACCCACTGTTTACAGAGATATTGTGCACATATTGAATCCTCGTTTAATGACAAAAACTTCTTAATTATCAGATGCTTGTGCCAAATTTATAGTGAGCCTGCTTTCAATCCTGCCAAAAAAGGATGGCCGTTCACGTTTGATGTTGGTTTAAAGTCTGCGATCTCATTAAAAAATTTGGGTCACATGCGCTGCTGCATAAAAAACACAGGTCTCTGTAAATGCTGAAGACATGAAATTAATTCACCTGGAAAAGAGAAATCGGCACGCAATCCGAGAGATAGGAGATCACTTCTCATGTCCAGTCTTTCACATCCAACTAAAAGCGCATCCCCTAAGGAATGTCATGTGATCAAGTCCTACGCTTTAGAGCCAGTTTGCTAATCAAATTTTACAGGGGATGCGCAATTAAGTCTTGCCGGACCTGTAAAAGTCTTGTAAGACATGTCGGTGGTTATCCGCAAAAAGGCTGTAAGAGCTACATGTATGTATGGTTGAGGGCAGCAAAGGCTTTCTTGCGTTCAGCGGACAATGTAGAAGGAAAATTTTCCTCACGAATAGCTACTCTTTCTAATGTTATTTTCCAAGAAGACTACTCCCAAAGCAACGATATCGAAGCCAAGCCATCGCTTTGGACATGGGAATGGCCTTAACGTTTTTCCTGCATGCAGTCGGTATAGGAATGGCTCTCTCTTACAAAGCTTCAGAATTGGAGTGACGTACTCTGCCTAATTGACAAGCCGTTGAATGACGGTGTTGACATTACGGGAGGAGCATAAACAGCACAGCCAGATCCTGAGGCTAACCGATACCTAGTATGACTGGATTTATGAAAGCATGCACGTCTACTTGGCTTTTGAGACATTCGCGTACATTCATGTATATTAACAAGCTCATAAATCCTACTGCTAGTATGATTTCATTCATGAAAGCATGCAAGTTTACTATGTTTTTGAGCCATTTGAGTAGTGTTCACATGTCTGTACTTGTATCCCTATCCCCCCCCAAAAAAAAAAAAGTATGACAAAATTAGTATAACAAAAATATTCCTGCGGCAGTTGATGAAAAATCAACAAGTGAAGAAGAAATGATGAAATACTAACAAAAATGTATTTTTGGCTGTACGCTTTTGTCAATCGACAACAAATTTATTCTAAACCAGCAATCTTCAAAAACTTGAAAATGGGGCGCAACATTTGTTTAGTGTGCAGTTAAGAAAACAAAGAGGATACGTCTGCTAGACTATATGACAAAACAAAGAAAGAAAGAAAAAGGAGGGAGAGATTGAAGTGCAAAACCTCCTTTCCCTTCACAAACAAAGTACACATGATGTTTTCATCAGATACAAGGGATTCTGGCTAAGAATCTCTAAAAGCCCGTTTGATAAAAAATACCATATTGGTTACATCTAAAGACCTTCTGGCTAAATCCCGAGGAATCCCTACAAGTGAATATAATATCTAGAAAATCGGGGTCACAGTTAACAAGGCTGCTATTTATTTTTTTTGTGCAATATCCTGGACAAATCTTCAAAGATCAGACAGTAAATTAAAAAATGCACCATTCTTAATACAGTAAATGCATTTAAAAATGTTCATGAAAAGGATTTGGAAAATGCTTACACCACTGGTAATTTATATGATATAAAGTCAAGCATATCTTGGTGACCACATCTCTATAAGGCCCCTTGCCTAAAGAGGCCACTTTTTCTGTTCCCTTGAGTGGCCTTTATAGACAGGTTTGACTGTTTATTATATTAGAACACCTTATCGTTATATCATTTGTTGACAAGAAAGGCATTAAATCTAGATATTTCTTTTGTTTATCATTTTCTTTCTCTGAACGCATATTACAACACTTTAACTTGTCTGTTGAGAGACAGAAGGGTGTTGACATTATGTCAAATTATATATGAATCGAAAATTGGTTGGTTGGTTTGTTTGTTTTACCTGACTGCTAAAAAAAGCATGTGTATGTTTGTAAGGGACTTGATAATGAGGAGGCCTTACCAAAAGGCAGTAGCACCTCAAATTGATTTTGAACCCGATACCTCTTGGTTATGAGACCACTGAGCGAGACCACTGAGCCATCACGTCTCAACAACCTTCTGGCTCTCAACAGACAATACATAGGGAGAACATGGCACTACTACACAGAATGTGTCAATCTTAATTGGGTAACAACCCCCCCCCCCCCCCCAAAAAAAAAAAAAAAAAAAAAAAAAAAAAAAAAATCATTTCTATCTATAGAAGATATGAACACACTGGCCAGATGAAGATGGCTTACTCCATTCCATCGGGTGTTCTCGTTGGGTTGGGTTGGGTTGTCAGGTTACAAAAAATTTCCATAAATAATTAAGCCCTAATCTACAGGTTCGGGTGTTCTGTAAGTGAAACACACCTCTCTCTCATGGTCAAAGTGTTGGGTCCACTTTACCGGACACTTTTTTGAAAAACC